TGAAATTCACTAAGGTTGAATCATCCAAGGCCTCACAGCTAAAAAGGGCAATGTGAACTCATGGACTTTCAAATTTGTTCAAAGAACTAGAATGAGTACGTGTGACGTTCATGACACATAGTAGGCTTCAGGAGATGCAGACAGTGGACCTCCACTGTATGTCAGGTTTTGCAAGATGTGAAAGTGACATCCACCCATAAGCCATGGAGCCTGGCCTATGGGCCACCGCCATCACACTACGATGCTAAAACTCAGATCACAAACACATCTTTCCAACATTTTCCTTCATACTGTCTTCCTAGTGGCATGGTGGCAAGGATACAGCAGACACTGGAACTGAGGGAGAAAACCAGCAGAATTTTAGAAACTATTTTCAAGACTCTGAAGAAGCCGAGTGTGGGGATGCACACCTGTAATCTCACCACTCGGGAGGCTGAGGCAGGAGAATCATGAGTTGGAGGCCAGCCTGGGCTACACAGTGAGGCTCTTGTCTTAAACAATTAATCCCAGTTGTGAGGCAGGTAAGACAGATGGTCATATTTGCGAGTAACAAGTGAGAAAACTCAGGGTTGAGGGTAACTCATACGAGCTCACATGGGGGGCCAGTCTCATGGCTAGCACTTTTCCCAGAGTGTTCTATTCCTTCCAGCATCTACAGGTTATCGAGTGGCCGGGAGAAGCCCCACGCTTTTGTAAGGAATCAGGTAAGCAGATGGGTCTGAGCAGACGAAAGCGCCAGGGATACGCAGACATCATGCCCCAGGTTCTAGAGCGCATCTCTCCTGTCTCCTTCCCACCTGGCACTAGGTGTGACTGATTGGCCCGGCTTGCCAGACCTCAAGTTTCTGCAGTTATTTTTAGCTACTCTTTTAGCACATTCCTGAGCCAGGTGAGGCACGAGAAGGAATGCAGGTGTGAAAAACCCTTGACTCTCTAGTGTCATTCCAGCAAGAGGGGTGACTCACTCACATCCTGACTTCTTATCTGCCCTGAAGCTACACTGCACCTCAAGAGCTGTGTGGGTTGGAGCTTCATGCACATTCTCTCATTTCATTTTAGGGACATATATTCTCCATGTCACTTTGTTACCTGCTTTGAAAGTGATCCTTCACTTTCTGTAACCCACACCGCAGCCTGTGATTCCTGCTGGTCCCACTTCCCAGGTCTCCGAGGGACCTTGGCAGATCAGTTTGATTTCAGTTGAACACCTCCATAGGCAGCAAGATGCCTACCTGGAAAGTGCTCTGGCTCTAAGCAGACATCTGTGAAGAGCCAGCATATCCTGGGTATTTAGGGCCTTTTTGAGAGATGGAGAAAGAGTAACAATGACATAGCTGGGCCTTACCACCCTCTTTTACACAAACACAATCCCCCCAGGGTGCCCTGGAACACCAGACCTACTTTAAGGCTACCTAACTGAAATCCCATCACTGGGATCCCATTCTCATTTCCAGCTCTATATAAGAAACAAAAACCAGGCCAGGCAATGTGGTTCATGCCTGTAATCACAGCTACTTGGGAGGCAGAAATTAGGAGGACTGAGGTTTCAGGCCAGTCCAGGCAAAAAGTAAGCAAGACTTCCATCTCAACAAACAAGCTGAGAGTGATGTTTCACACATGTAATACCATCTGCTTGGGAGGCACAGGTAGCAGGATCACAGTCCAAGCCTGCAGGCAAAAAAATACAAGACTCTACCTGAAAAATAACTAAACCAAAAAGGGATGGAGACATGGCTCAAGTGGTAGAGCACCTGCCTACCAAGCACAAGGCCCTGAATTCAAACCCCAATACTGCCAACAAAACAAAACAACGCAACAGGCAAGTTAGTGATATGAAGGTGGTTTTTTGTTTCTGTTTATTTTTATGTCAGCTGCATATGACAAATTCTCTATAAACTGGTTTGTGAATCGGGTGAGAAATTAAGCGGTTTCTCTCTGGGCTGACGCTGCTATTGCAGGTAACTCCCTTTGTAAAGCTGCAAAGTGAGGAGTGCTTGTTCACAATGTGGTTGTTAAAAGGTTACTTCCTACAGTCAGGCATGCAGAACCAAGACATTGTTTAAGCTAGTATTTTTATTAAAGCAGGTATTTTACCTGCAAAGGCAATGAATGTGTCACTGAAGACAATATCACTTTACATGTCTTCTACACTTCCACATATCCCACCAGTTCAGAAAACCTATGTCCTGTCTTCTGGTTTTTGTTGTTTTGAGGTTTTTTGTTTTTTTCTGAGATGGGGTCTCCCTATCTAACCCAGAGTGGCCTTGAACACACTGTGCAGCCCAAACTGACCTCCTTCTCCTAACTGATCCCCTTTCCTCAGTCTCCCTAGTGTTGGGATTATAGATGTGCCCCACACCTGGTTTACACTTTCTTTGCAATCATTTCTCTCCAACATTTCTCATACTTCTTTAAAACTATTTTTTTTTTTTTGTGGGACTGGGGTTTTGAACTCAAGTCTTCACACTTGCAAAGCAGGCACTTTATGCTTGAGCACACTCCCAGTCCCTACTCCAGACACAGGTAGATCCTCCTGCCTGTGTCTATTCCACAATGCTATCTTAATCCCCAAGGAATAGACCAGAATGCACAAAGACACCCTGCACTGGATTTAGAGTCTCCCCAAATTCATGTCTACTCAGAACCTCAGAAGGTGATATTTGGAAATAGGGTGTTTGCGATGCAATTAAACATGAGGTCATACTGGATTACAGTAACTCAAAATACAATGACTAAGAAGGCCAAGTGAAGCTGGGTGTGGTGGTGCACGTCCGTAGTCCCAGCTACTTGGCAGGGGAAGGGGGGAGTGGACCAGTTGACTCCACAAGTTCAAGACCAGCTTGAGAAATGTAGCAAGATCCCATCTCAAAAAAAAGGCCATGAAGGTAGTAAGCATTTTTCCCTGGAGCATGCCAACACCTTGACTTTGCACTTCTAGAATCCAGAACTCTGAGAAAATTAGTTGTTGCTGTTCTATGTCACCCTATTGGTGGTACTTTGTTTAGCAGGAAATTAAAACCCACCTCAGTGGTTCAGCAGCAAAACCTCATGGCCCTCCTCCCCCGAGGGAGAGCAGAAGGAAGCCTGACAAACAGTGTAAACCCACAGCCTTGTTCTCACTCACTTTTGCACTCTGCCCTCCAAGACAGCCTCTCTTACTTTTCCTGGTGGGACTCCAGTATGCGCTCTGAGGACAGATGGCCCACCTTCTTCTTCTGTCTTATCTTACCATCCCAGCAAAACATAATTATGTGCAGAGTTAAGTCCTACTTAATTTTGTGCCAGCACCATGATGTTTCAAACAAACAAACATGAAAATGCCTCCTTCCTTCCTCCTCCCGCTTCTTTCCCTTCCTTCTTTCCTCTCTTCCTCTCTCCCTCCTTCCTTCCTTTTTCTTTCTTCTCAGTACTTAAGCCACATTCCCAACCCAATGGTTAAGCTTTTAGAACAGTGTCTTTTTGTTTGCTTGTTTTTTGGTGATACTGGGGATTGAACCCAGGACACTCAAACATGCTAGAAGCTCTTTACCACTGAGCTACATTCCCAGCCCTAGAGCAGCAGTTTTTAGTCTCCCCAGAAACTGCAGATACCTGCGGGCACCACAGACCCCAGGTTACAGATCACTGCCCATCAGGAAAGTTCAGACATCCCCCAGGATAGCTCCAGTCTCTCCTCTTACCCCTCACTAGGTTGAAACAGTAACCATCAATCAGTCCTTAGTTCTGAGATAAGTTTCTATCCAAAGTCACCCTGGACAGTCCCACCAGGAAAGTATAATGTAGTGGAGAGTTTGTCCCAAGTGGCAGACACAACTCAACGAACGGTCACAAGTATGACTCTCTCAACTGCTTGTCTCTCCTCTTCCACTACCCCCTCTCCTTTTGCTTACAGTGTCCTAACTACTCCTCTAATTTATCCTTCACTCAAACGCACCCTAACCAATTGCAGCAACAACATCCAGAGCAAAGAATAAGCACATGCTAGACTTCAGCTCATCACAAATGCCTTTTCCACAGGCAACACTCCTAGGACACATCTGGGATATAAAGTAGCCACCCTATATTTAAAAAGATCTTCCCACAAGGAGCAGGCCATCCTGGGCTCCACAGGGAATGGACTGCCATGTACTTTTCTAAGTACAACCTTTGGATCATGCCCTTTAAGATGTACAAGGAACATTTCTTTTCTTCCAAACATCATTCATGGTCTTAGTCCGTCACAATGATTTCTGAAATCTCTTCACCTGGATCTGCCCCTCCAGATACACTCTCTTCTAATAAAATTGATATGGCCAACAAAAATCATCAAACATCTCCTACATGGAAAAGCAAGTTCCGAGAACTCGAGGCTGTTCCTGACTGAAGCTCCAAGTCGCATCCAATGCCCAGCAACCCTCCTCCCCCACCTTGCCCTCCAGTGCTAACACCTGCTTCCTGCTCTGGAAGTAAGGACCCAGTTCTACACCTCAATTCAATCACCAACAGATGGGGCAAAAGAATACAACAACAAGCAGACGAAATCCTGATTTGACCCTCATCACCTGGGGATAGGAGTCTACCTAAGAAACCAGTCTTCCTAACCACCTCCTTAGTCCAGGCAACTGAGCAGCAGATTGATTCCAGGATCTAAAGACCTCTGTGAAGCTGGGAGCCAGTGGCTGAAGCCTGAATCCTAGCTACTCAGGAGGCAGAGATCAGGAGGATCGAAGCTGGCCCTGGGCAAATAGTTCACAAGACCCTATTTCAAAAGAAACCCGTCTCTGTCTCTCTCTCTCTCTCAGGTGGAACTTCACAGAAGTGATTAACGGCCTTTCCGTTTCAAAGCCATCTATCACCTTGCTCCTCAGTTCATTTTTTTTAAGTCATAAATAATGATTACCTTAATTAAATTAAGGACAACCAATGAATCTGCCCTGTAACCATCACTGTCAAGTTCAGGTGCTCACTGGTTAGCAAGAGCTACAAAGCCCTTTAACACCAAGGTCTCCAAGAAGTTTGAATCTTTTCAAAATGGTATTTAGATTTATTGTCTTACATCAGGTCTAAGGAAGAACAGCTAAGATGGCATAAATACCACTTACAGATGTACAAGCCTCTTTCCTTTATAATCGCAGGTTGTGCACTTCATCAATCGAGTCCTTGACTTGCAGATGAAAAAAGCACAATGAAGAGACAGAAGAGTACATGCCCCTCTTGTCACAAGCAAGGAATCAAGGTGAAGAGCGGTAGCAGTCTTGCCATCACACTGGAAGATTTATCCTGAAGCAGTGACACTCCAGCACTCACAAAGGGAAATGAGCACTGAGTTGGCGGAGCACTTTCCAGAAATGATTCTGACTGGCTGGCCTGAGGGTCTCTCCTGGAGGCTCCAATCTCTTCTCCACTCCCCTTTCAGAGACAGAAAGCGGAACTCACGTCTTCACAGAAGTGATTAACGGCCTTTCCGTTTCTTCATTTTCCCCCCAGCCACCTTGTTCCTGACACCAATAGCACCCTCCGTGTCATCATCATCACCAGCATCCTCTCGTGAGCGTTTCTTCTTCTCTCCATGTTCCCTTAACTCCTACGGGAAACAGAAAGGATTCAACTAAAATGAACTACTGCCACTGAGGGTGCCACACTCTCATTTCACTCCAGAACAAGTACTGAGTAACTTCCCCAACACCTGATCCTAGCAAAGGAATAACACCAACTCCAAATGTGCAAAACATCAGCCTTACTCAGGAATGGCAGCAAGAAGATGAAAATAACAAGGTCTTCTTTTTGCATGGCAGATTGGCAAAGAGAAAGCTACACAAACCTAATACTGACCGGTGCTGATTGTAACTGGAAAATTTGGCACTGCACATGAGTTCATATTCTAAGTATGTATACTACTTGGTCCAAAAATTCTACTTCTATCAATTTATTCTAAGGAAACAAGACAAATACGCAAAGCTGCACGTACAAGGATAGCCAACAGCTCTAGTTAAAATAAAAGAGGTTGGAAAATGCAGACATCCGTCATGTCACATACATGTGGTGGAATTTTATCTATCTATCTATTTATTTATTTATTTGGCAGTATTGGAGTTTGAACTCGGAATTACACACTTGCTAGGCAGGTGCTCTATCCCAGCTCTAGTTATTTTGGACATAGTCTTGCTTTTTGCCCAGGTCAGTGTAGACTGCAATCTTCCTATCCTTGCTGGGATGACAGGTGTACCACCATGTCCAGCTTTTACTGGTTGAGATGGGATCTCAAGAACTTTTTTGCCTGGGGTTGGCCTGGAACTGTGATCTTCCCTATTTCAGCCTCCCAAGTAGCTAGGATTATAGGGGTGAGCCAATAGCTACCAGCATATGATGGAATTCTTTATAGGAAGAGGGTACAAAATAAAGAAAAGCTGTGTCTGGTGGTGCATGCCTGTAACCCAGCACATGAGAGGCTAAGGCAGGAGGACTGTGAGTTTGAGGCTGGCCTGTGCTACACAGTGAAAAGCTGGGAAGAAGGGTGGGAGGGAGTCACATGGATCTATACTTGTTGAATAGAAAAATGTAATCACATATAGTAAGTTCTAATTATGGCTAAAAACAGAAAAAGAGTTGTATGTTACCAATGGTTCTCCATGGGGGATGTTTTACCTTTTCATTTACTACTTAAATCCTTTGTGTTTTCTGAACTTTTTTCCCAATGCATATATAACACTTTTATAAACAAAAAATACCAAACAAAAAATTCCACCTGAGCAGAAAAAACAAGCCTGTACCTTAGCTACTCAGAAAGCAACTTGTGGGTGGGGCAATGGTGGCTCACGCCTATAATCCTAGCTATTCAGGAGGCAGAGATCAGGAGGATCGTAAAACTCAGGGAAATAATTCATGAGACCCTATCTTGAAAATACCCATCACAAAAGAGGGCTGGCGAAGAGGCTCAGGCAGTGGAGCGTGAGGCCCACGTTCAAACTACTAATGATCGCTACTTTACATTACCTATCTGGCACTCGTTAACACCTGGCAGGTATTCAGGGCAAGTATTTTTCCCAATTTGCTGGTCAGGACTGATTCTGAGAGGTTCAGCGAAATGTCCAAGTTCACATCCCACAGCTAGGTCTTCTGATCGCAAATCTGACAGGTTTTTGCCACATGTGAGACTTGAACAGTGGCTGAGAATGTAGCCACCTGGGTAGCACTAAGCCAAGCCAGCTTCAACCACACAGCTGTGTGGTCTAAAGCAAATACCTACCATCTCTGCATCTGAATCTGCTCGTCTCAGATCTGGAATAAAGTAACACCCAGCTCGTGAAGTCTATCACGAGTAACAGGGCACCTGACACAGTAACATCTGAATGAAGGCTGGTGAGAAAGAGAGCAAGCTGCATACCATCCGGGCGAATCTCTGGGCTTCAGTCACACGCTCTGTCAGCATCATAACCTCGTCATCCTGCGTTGGGAAAACAGGCAGCTTCTTCCCAATTAGGTGTTCTATGCGCTGAAAGAGTTCCACGTCATACCTGGGGAATCAAATGGCATGGCACTGCTTGGCTGACAATGCAGATGTCTGTCCCTTCCCAAACTATATGATATTCTTTCCACATGAGCCACAGTTTCAAACAACATTGAACATACTACCTCTTTCTAAATATGGGTAAAAATACAATCTTTGGGCACAATTAGCAAATCACCCACTGTATTTTTTGTTAATCTGAGACAGGGTCTAGCTATGTACCCCAGGCAGGCCTCAAATTCATGATCCTCCTGCCTCAGCTCCCCCAGTGCTGGGATTACATATGTGAACCACCTCACCCAGCACAACCACAGTATTCTTTACTCACAGAGAAGACTGGGGTACACAAAGTTTTTTTTAAAAGAAAACCAGAGGTTTCTAACACTTTCTGAGTTGAGGAAAGGTCAGTGCTCCGCAGCTTCAGCAGTTGAAAGAAGTAACAGGTACAATTTGTGACACTTCTATATGCCAAAGACTATACTAGATCCTTTACATAGATTATATCCAAGTTTTTGTTTGTTTGCTTTTGTCTATTTGTTCTGTTTTGTTTTGCAGTACTAGGGTTTGAATGCAGGGCTTTGTGCTTGCTATACAGACTACTACTTGAGCCATGCTCCCATATGCCCCCTTTTTTCTTAAAACAGGGTCTCACTATGTAGTCCAGGTTGGCCTGAACTCAATCCTCCCTCAGCCCAGAGTGCTGGGATTACAGGCATGAACCACCATGCCTTGCTTATCTCTGCTTTTCACCAAAGCCCTACTAGGCCAGTGTTGTTATTTCCATTTTAGAAATATGAAAACCAGGATAAGGTTGTTTACATGGTCAGTATAGCAAACAGCGGAGCCAGTCCAAGCCAGTCCGGCTTTCTGGGGCTCTTTGGTGTCCGGTTCTTATCTATACATTACTCTGTTCAAAGTCAATTTACTTACTGTGTGACAAAAGTGATAGCCTTTCCAGAGCGCCCGGCTCGAGCTGTTCTCCCCACTCGATGGATGTAATCCTGGAACAAAAAGGGCACATAAATCTACAAATTCTGAGCAGTGAGCCATGTCCTCCAAGTCTTGCTGTAAGCCTCTGACAGAAAGCAGAGTCCTATTGGAACCTGGAGAAAACAGCCAGGGAAATTTACTGAGAAAATCTACTTGGTCCTGTCCACTCTCCTTGCAGCACGAATTTATTTGCTTTCCTTCTTTTATGGAAAAACAAATCCACAAAGCACATCTACCTGGTGACAGTGCTGGGGCAAAACAAAAACCATTGAACCCAGAAGTTTTACCATCAACCAGCCACTAATTATCTGCAAATCACAGAACCTCTCTGAGCTCTGGCTTCTTTCTAGCTAGCAGATGGGCAGAAATGCATACCCAAACTTAAAATGTCACTGTGAAAGCAAATGGGACCACACTTTATCTATGGTTGTTATGTGCAGAGCTAAGACAAACAGAAATTCAGCCAGCAGTGATTCTGTCATTCCCAGGGGATGTCTGGTAACGTCTGGAAACATTTCTGGTTGTCACAACTTGAAGAGTGACACTGTCCTCTAGTAGGCAGAGGTCAGGAATATGTGTGTTCCATACTACACTCAAGGAACAACCCCATACAAAGAATTCACTGACCCAAAATGTTAATACTGCCAATGCTGGGAAACCCCAAGAAACTGTCATTTGTAAAGAAATGAGGTTGACAGAGATTGACAGACACTGCCCCAGTCCCCACTACCTGTGACCACTTAAGAACTCTCCTTGCCTACCAGATTTCACATTTATTAATGTTACAGATACAGGCATGTGCAAGATGGTGAAAACAAATAAATCGGAGGCTTTCTCAGGTCTTGACACTTAACTAATGGAGGACAAAAAAACTAGGTTGTAACTAGAAGAAACAGCAAACATTATTTAAGAAATAAATTTTGAGACCAGAAAGTCAAGCCAGCACTAGGACTGACCTTGGAGTGAGTTGGAATGTCGAAGTTGACAACTACATCCACATGAGGTATGTCCAAACCTCTGCTTGCAACATCAGTCGCTAGAAGGATGGATCGGGCCTTGGCCTTAAACTTATTAAGGGATCCTAGGCGTTTGCTCTGAGAAGATGACAAAGAAATGAGAATTTTAGTCTTGGAAAGCTAAGGAATCAAGGAATGCAAGACCTAATAAAACAGACACACACAACACAAGAACAAGTAATAAAAAGTTTTCCAAGTTTTTTCCCCTAACTCCAGATTAGGGCTTCATAGGTCAAAGCAAATATGAAAACAAAAATATTTAAGACAACCTACAAATAATAGCACAAAACAGGAATTTTTTAACATGAGAGAAAAATAATTGGAAAATAATTTACTAATACTCTTTATAGAGACCGAGAATCATGACTCCCACTAGCGCTGAATGAATCGACTCAGCAGCTTTCAAACCAGACAGCTACCTTGTGCTCTTGTTGTTGTGAAAGGAGAAAGCAAGCATCCAGAGCAACACTTCACAGCCCACAAAATCGAACAATCATGGACGGGCACCAGTGTCACATGTCCTTACTGTCCAAATCTACTGTTACAAGGTTCATCCTCCTCACATTACTAGTTCACGGCTAATGATGCCACAGGATCCTCACCTGACTCATCTGTCCATGGAGGGGGATGGCAGTGAATCCAAGATTTCGGAGCAGCAAAGCTGTTCTCTGAGTATTGTTACAGGTGCTACAGAAGATCATAAAGGAGTTTCCAGCCAATTCATTTAGAATATAAACCAGGTAGGTATCCTAAGTTATAAACCCAAAACAACATATGTCACTGAACCTGGGAGAAAGGGTTAGATATCTGGCGTACACATTAAGGAAAGACAACCTATAGGCGCATTTCAATTATCCAGACCACCAGCTGCCAGCTTGCACTTCTCAGCCAGTACTATGACCTCAAGTGAACCATGTAGCTCAGTGTAGCCTGAGGTCAGACACAACATCTGTACTCGGCAACCAAGAAAAGTCCTTGTATTAAAACATAAAATGAGCAACTCGTTTATGTAATAAGCAGACCCCTCCAGGGTGGGGTTGGGAAGGAACTGTATCATTACATCAGGACTTCATCATTGTGGCTATGCTGTGAATTCCTGGAATGTCTGCCTTATCTGTGATAAACTCTAAAATGGAGGACTCCAACTTGTATCCTAGCCCTCAGCTAATCAAGAGTTGACACATTCTCAGCTGCTATGGTGAGAGGGAGAGGCGAAAATGATCAAAGCGAACACTTACCTTGAATTTAGAGGGGATGAAAAGATAGTACTGCTGAAGTTTCTCAACAGTCTGGTATTTAGAGGAAACAGCACACTTCACAGGATTCTTCAGAGCTGCACGCTGAAGTTTTTGCACCTAAAGAAAGGAAACCTAGAATAGTACACCCATTCCCAAATACTCTATTTCTATTTTTTTTCATATTTTTACTCTTGTTGTTGCTATTATGTTTACCGATTCTTATAAAGAGGAAAGTCCAAGCAGATTTTACCTTTTTGGTCATGGTAGCAGAGAAGAGGAATGTCTTCCGATCTCGGGGGATCACTTTGAGGATCTTATCCACCTAAGGCACAAAGAGGAAAGGAGGCTAGCGTGACATTTAGACTGATGCCTGCAAATTCTCTGTGTAGTGAAGGTGGAGACTGAGAAGCCAAGACCTGGGGGATTTGGGGCTCAAATTCCATCTAATGCAGCTAGAATTTACTGGGTATTTTCTATCTGAAACCATGCCAGAGGCAAGCAGAAAAACAATGCCATGTGGACAAAACAACAGTTTAAATCAGTAGATTTGAGCTAACAGAAAGGCCAATAGAATGTACTGCTCAACCGTAAGCAAAGACAAGTAGGTCATCAAAGAAAACAAAGACATTGCAAAGTGTAGAGAAAGGGTCCAATTAAGTGAAATGGAAAAGAAAGCCAGGCTCTGACACCCCTCCACTCTGACTGTGTCTAAATGTAAGCAGCGCTGAGGCTCTGGCACAGTGAAAGACTCTAAGAATGGACAAAGACAGCAGTCACAGTGAGTCACTGTGACTCACTGCTCTACACAAGCAGGTGGGCAATGAACCAAACTTTGAAAGACAACTTGAGATGTTCTAGGAGGAGGAGAAAAATCGAGAGCTCACCTCTGTCTCAAAATCCATGTTTAATATCCGGTCCGCTTCATCCATGACCAGGTATTTGAGCGCTCTTAAGTTGAAGCCTTTTGTATTTTCCAAGTGATCGATCAGTCGCCCAGGAGTGGCTACCAAGAGAGGTTGAGGAGAAAAGGCAAGGTTTCAGAACAAGGACAAAAAGAAAGTGACCTAGTCCCTGGCCAAAACAATGAAGAAATTAACAAGTTAGCTGGACACAGTGGCTCATACTATAATCCTAATACTTGGAAGGCAGAGATCTGACGGATCACAGTTGGAGACCAGCCTGGGCGAAAAGTTAGTGAGACCCCATCTCAACAAAAATGCTGGACGTGGTGGTATGCATCTGTCACCCCAGCTATGTGAAAAGCAAAAATAGCACTGGGCACCCATGGCTTACGCCTGTAATCTTAGCTAGTCAGAAGGCAGAGATAAGGAAGATCTCGGTTCAAAGCCAGCCCGAGCAAATAGTTTGTGAGGCTCTATCTCAAAAATACCTAACACAAAAAGGGCTGGTGGAATGGCTCAAGGTGTAGGCCCTGAATTCAAGCCCTAGTACTACTTTAAAAAAAGAAAAAAGGAAGAAATATTAGGATGATGGCAGTCCAGTCCAGGTTGGCCTGGGCATAAACACAAGACCCTATGTGAAAAATAACAAAAGCAAAAATGGGTCAAGGAACAGAGCTCCTGACTACCAAGCACAGCCCTTACTTCTAACTCTAGTACTGGGAGAAAAAAGAGAGGGAGAAGGGAGGGAATAAGGAAATTAAGAAGTTAAACAGGATTACAAAAATCAGTTCCTTTCAAAGTCCTTCCACCCAACATTTTCTCCACCCCATCTTGTCACAGTATCTTTTAATTTGTCAATTACTCACCTATTACTATGTGTGGTTTTTTTGCCAACGCAAGAGACTGGGACATTGAATCAATTCCACCTACAATCACAGCTACAGAAATAAAAGGAACATAGAAAAGAGATCCTTAGTTTCTTCCACAGTCCACTGAATATCTCTTCAAGCCAATGCTAGATTCCTACTTATGTTTGTCCTTGCCTCATAATTAATGCTTTTCCCAAAGTCGAAATGCACCACCAGCTTCTTAGGTAGATAACTCATGCTACCAACATCCTCTTGCACTCTCCATTCTCACTCACTCTCCACTTGGGATGGCACTCTAGGGTCCCTTTCCTCTAGACACTTACCACACTGCACTCCAATAGAGGACCCCAGGGCTTCAAACTGCTCTGAGATCTGAAAGGCCAGCTCCCGAGTGGGAGTGAGAACCAAGGCAAACAAGCGCTGAGGCGTCTCCAGCAGTGCGTTCAGAATGGGCAAAGCAAAAGCCCCTGTTTTCCCAGAGCCAGTTTCAGCCAGCCCAATGATGTCTCGACCTAGAAAAAAAAGAAAACTCCAAATACAAAGAAGTTCTCTGTGCTCTGTATCCGTTTTCTACAATGGTGGAACAGACAAGTATACAGATGTTATAATGTGATGAGGCCTTCAGTGCATGGCTACAAAACACAGCGAGAATGCAAAGGAAGGCATAGCCTGCTGCCCAGAAGAGAGTCAGGCTAGCAGGAAGCAAGCACAGAAGATAAGGGAGGATTTTTCTGCACAGGAAAGAGTACGGGGCTTTCAGGAACACAGAATGCAAAGGAAGAGTGAGCTGAGCGATGTGACTGAACACAGGCGTGTCATGGAAGAACAGGGAGAAAAACAAAGCCAGAAAGAAAGTCATAAGCCATGCTAAGTTTTGATAAGAAGGGAACTTTGTGATTAACATTGCTCTTCAGGAGGATAAACTCTTAACCTGATGGCATAAGGACGGGCCAAGGAGCTAACAGTACATGCCATTTACACTGCTCATTCTAGAGAACATCACAAACAATTCCTTAAGAAAAGGTCACCATGGTTGTTATCATCACTTAAGCCATAACTCAAGAAATTAACTCCCACACCAAGACCACTATCTCTAAGATAGATGCAGTCCATGAGATAGCTAAAACAAGGCCCTGTGCCAAGTGTGGTGGCTACACCTGCAATTCCAGCACCTGGGAGGCTGAGGACTGCAAATTCAAGGCCAGTCTGGGCTACATAGGACCTCATCTCAAAAAAAAAAAGAGTAAACAAAAGAAAAAGGGAGTGAAACTCAAGTTTTTAGTGTGGGAAACTCATAAACTGAAAACTGAGCTAAGAATTACAGAAAGATTAGTTCTGAGGAGGAAAATAATGATTGGTTTGGACACAGGAAACCTAGAAAGTTTCTGCAGTAAGTTCAGAGAGAGGTGTATAAAATTTAACTGGACATTCATATTAGAGCCCAGGGAAAGCACAGAGGCTAGATATACAGGCGTGGGAGCCATGGGCTTCCTACCAGTAGTGCTTTCCCAGGGGCAGACTTAAAGGGGTGGGTGCGTAGTTAGCACATTACAGTTGTACAGGGACTACATGTGACATCATGCTTATGATGCATGCTTATGATGTATCTTAATTAGATTCACTCCCTCCCTCCCTCTTTCTCCTTTATCTCCCCACCTGGAAAGGAATGAATGGGTCTCACTATTCTATTTTCATAAATGAATAAAAAATACTTCCACCATTATTTGCCTCCATCACCCTTTCCTTATGCTCTCCCACTGGTACCCATCCCCAGACAGGACTTGTTTTACCTTCCCATCCTCCCTTCCTTTAAGAAATATTTGCTGGTATATGACAGTTATACAGGTAGCTTCATTGTGACATTTCCATATGCTCCCTGGATTGGTTCATCGCCTCCAGTATTCTTCCTTCTACCCCTTCAACAGGTTTCAATGTCCCACGTTGATACTTGTACAGAAAGTGCACCAACCATATCCACCCCTCTTTATGTTCCTCACTTACCCTCCCTCTCTCACTAGTGCCTTCCCCTTAACGTGATTACAGCCGGACTTCTGACTCAGTAGATCCAGGTTGGAGGCAAGAAATCTCTAGTATTAGAATGAGAAAAAAGGGTGGAGACAGGTCTGGGTTCAGCGGCTTACACCTATAATTTCAACTACTCAACAGGTAGAGATCAGGAGAAGAGCAAAAAGTGAGCACAACTCCACCTCAGCAAACAAGCCAGGTGTGGTGATATGCACCTGTGATCTCAGCTACACGGGAGGCACAGGTAGGAGGACTGTGGTCCAAGCTGGCCCAGGCAAAAACGTGAGACCCTAAAAAATAAGCTGAAGCAAAAAGGGCTGGGGGCGTGGCTCAAGTGGTAGAACACCTGCCTAGCAAGCACAAGGTCCTGAGTTCAAACCCCATACTGCCAAAAAACAAAACAAAAAAGCAAAAAAAAAAAGAAAGAAAACCTATCAAAAGATTTAGCTCTCCAAAGGAACACACTGTGAGAAAAAGAAAAAAAAAAAAAAAAAAAGCTAGGCACCACGGTGGCTCACGCCTGTAATCCTAGCTACTCAGGAGGCAGAGATCAGGAGGATCAAGAATCGAAGTCAGCCCAGGCAAACAGTTGAGACTCTCTCAAAAAAAACCCATCACGAAAAAGGGCTGGTGGGGTGGCTCCAGGTGTAGGCCCTGAAGTTCAAAACTCAGTACCACAAAAAAAAAAAAAAAGAAAAGAAAAAAAGAAAAAGAAACAAAGTAACAGTGTGACACAAACAGAATGAGCTTTTTGTGCTTCAATATTCTGTAAGGGAATCCTAGCTCTGGTAATGAGCTCCTGTGAAAGGGGCTTAAACCCCTAAGCCTCAGTTCCTCACCCTTCCTACCTTTCAGCACTGTTGTACAGCTTCAGGACAGTGGACAAGAGCTCAGCAAGTTTGCAGCCACTGGATTCACAGTTAGTCCCAAATTAGAATCTGAAAGTTAACTTAAAAAGCCAGGTGTGGTAGCACACACCCAGTGCACTGGATGCTGAGGCAAGAGAATGGCAAATCTGAGGCCAGCCTAGGCTACACAGCAAGTCCCTGTCTCAAAACAAACAAAAGAAATACATTTAATAGAGTAATAACAAAAACCTCCTAAGACTATTTGAATCACTGGCTAAGGCGGAATCTGGAAATTCAAAAGAAGTATTTGTAAACTACTCATCAGATTGAGACAAATCCCACAGGGATAAAATCATTGCTCGGGGTGATCACTTCAACCAGGATGCTCGGTTCCTTATAATCTTCCGGTGACCCCTATTCTCTGCATCAAACTCAAACTTTTTTCTATGGTAGGGCTGGGATTTGAACTCAGGGCTTCATGCTTACAAAGCAGGCACTCTATTGCTTAAGCCATGCCTCGAGTCCATTTTTATCTGGTTATTTCAGAGATGGGGTCTCTCAAACTATTTGCCCAAGCTGGCCTCAAACCATGATCCTTTCAATCTCAGCCTCCCAAGTAGCTAGGATTACTGGCATGAGCCACTGGTGCCTGGCCCAAATTCAAGCTTTTGACTGAAAACATTAGAAGAATTTTAGAATTACTGTCACCACCTAATTTTGACTTTTTTCTTTCCACCTATGCTATAGGCTCGCTGGGAAAATTTAAAATGCCCTATCCCTTCTTGCTCCATAAAGCTGCTGACCCTGTTTTGTGGTCCCTGTCCTCCTAACTTCTCTGCATGAGGTGGAAGTGCTCACTACCTCCTCCTTCAAATACCTGATGGGTGTGAAATACACTCCCGAGATTCCCAAATCTGCTGAGCAGAGTTTCTCTGTCATCCTTTGTCCTCATTGGCAGCCTCACCATTTTCAGTCTCAGCTTAACCTCTCCTTGGAAATGGAGCCCAAATCCAGTCTGGTCTCAGCCAACTTCCAAACCACAGATTCCAAGTGTGTAGTTTTTATTTTCTACTTTCCCAGCTTTATTAAGGCGTATGTACATGTTTATACATAAAATAATATATATAGTTATATATAAAATAAAATACATATATATTTTATATATATATGTATTTTATATGTATATATAACTATATATATATATAAACATATATATATATATGTTTTTTTTTTTTTTTGGCAGCACTGGGGTTTGGACTCAGGGCCTCACGCTTGCTAGGCAGGCTCTCTACCATGTGAGCCACTCCTCCAGCCCTACTAAGGTATAATTTATCAAGTAAACATTGTATACATGTGGGTATACAATGCAATGTTCTGATACACATATACATTGTAAAATGATTAAATCAAGCTAATTAACATATCCTTCACCTCACAAACGTTTTTGTGGTAAGAACAGTTAAGATCTCTTAGCAATTTTCAAGTACAAAAACATTGTTATTAACTATTGTCACCATTCCGTAACTAGATCTTCAGAATCTACTCATCCTGTCAGACTAAACCTTTTGTACCCTTCAACCACTGGACCCTCATCTTCTTTTCCTCCAACTGTGTATTCATCAATCATTTCCAACTGGACCCATTCTGGCTGAAATTGTTTTCCTCCTGTATTCCCTTTTTCCATCAGAGGAACAACATATAATATCCCTATCCCTACTGTTTCATGATAGAGTTCTCCACGCCTTGCCTTCCATTTGCCTAAATTGGCTGTAAACCATGATTTTTTCCTATCATTTTCTGTTTTTCATTCCTACTATCACTTTCTTACCCATTATTTCTTGCCAAAATTATTGCAATGACCTCTTAATTGGTTTCCCAGGCTCCAGTTTCTTGTTTTTAAATGAAATTACCCAGCTGTGAGATTTATCTTTCAAGAGTACAAGGATTTCATTCTCTTGCTAAAAAAACAATCTCCAAAGAAGCTCCACTGGCTATTGTGGGGGAAAACTTGTCTTTTCCTTCAAAGAACTAGCAACCCAGGTAAATCCATCTTAAAATGCAGCTCTTAACTCTTGACTTCCCAGACTGTTAAATGTTAACCTTGCCATTGCCCAGGTAAACCCACTTTAAAACAGAACTCATCTCTAGCCAACTGAGAAACACTGTGAACCCTGACTCCTACCAATAGGAGAAGGGAGTAGTGTTGCATCAGAGATAAAAACCAAATGCTTATCAAACCTGTATCGGTGGCACACCCTTCTGCAGAAGAAAAATTTTTGCCTCACTGACTGACTCCTGAGTCGTATTGTCAACACTATGGAATCAAATCCCTTTACCCAGCATCCAAGTCATTCACAAGTGGCCTCACAAGACCACACCTTTCCACTGTCTTAGGTGTTTGTAAGTCTCCTTACAAACCCATATTGTCCAGCCTCCTCACCTTTTTCTCTTGCTATCCCCTAGTACATACAGAAAGTCCATCCCATCACATCTCAATGTCTGAACCCATCTAAATTCAGTCCTCAAGGTTCAGCTCAAAGATCTTCCCAACCTCATCAGCCAAAAAGTAAAAGAAATTTTCTCTAATCCATTTCAGTAAGACTGGGTTACTCCCTCGGTGCATTCTGCATGTAACATTCTTATGTTCCTGCTCATCTTGTAACAAATTTATAATCATCCCTTCCTAGACAGTAAACTCTTGAAAAGAGCAGACTCTTAACCTCCAGTGTGTTCTGCTTACATCAAATACTTAGTAGCTATTATCTATGGGAAGAGCAAATGGAATTACATAGAATAAATCTAATCCTTTCCACGTGACAGTTCACTTATAAAACAAAGAATTCCTACCTCGTCACTCTTCTTGAGACCACATGCACTCAGCTCCTTTAGCTATCTGTGACTCTTCTTGACACTATCCCACATTCCTTGGTCTTCAGCTGGTCCCTGAAAACTATGTCCCCAAACCTAAGCAATATTGTATTCTAAGTGTAAAACACTATTCTCTCTCTAGAACTAACCAGGAGTTCTTAATCTGAGACTCAGGAAAGAGGAATTAAGGATGAGGGAGAGTCTTACATTCTCTGAAATTATACAGAAAACTTTATATGTAGACATATTTGTGTATTTTTTATGGGGAAGAAATCTTTTAATTTTACTTGACTCTCAAAGGATAAGTGATCCCCAAATTAAATGTCACCCTCTTCTTATAGTAATGTTGTTAAAATTATGTTAGCTTTCTGTTTTGTCTTTTTGCAGTGCTGGGGAAGAATGAACCCTGGGTCTTTCAAATTTCAAATGTTAGGTGAGCACTTTACCACTGAGCTACATCCCCACTCTATTTTCTGTGAGTATTTTACTGAACTTTAGTTAACTAATACCTCTGGGTCACTTTTACCACCTACCCTAATCCTATAAAGTTAGCACTTTAGGAATCTAAGAGCAGGACTTTACTTCTATTCCTATTAATTCTATCCTGTTAGTTTCAGTCTCACTCACATCAACCAGCACTTGTAAGCATTATTCTGCAAATTCAATAAACATGCCTCATAACAAGAGCTCTCAATTCCTCTAGACACAAACAGTCATGCAAGAATATACCATAAAGCCTAGGTGTGTAACAGGCTATCCCATCTACGTTTGTGTAAATACACCTTATGACACATATCTCAGAACCAAATCCCCTAATGACACATTTCTCAGAACATATCCCTACATTAAGTGACACAAGACTGTGTACGTTCCAAGTGTCCTTCCATGTAAATGTGCACATATTGATTCATACTTTCTAACAAGTTTCTCATTAGTACATTTTAATCCAGTGTTTTCTTACAGTCCATCTGTAGAGGAGAACAAATCCCTTCCACCTTTGAGACAGGAAAATGAGAATAAATGAGTTTTTCAAAAGCCAGTAAGCCCCTGGGCACTGGTGACTCACACTGTAATCCTATCTACTTGGGAGGCTGAGATCTCAAAAATGAGAGTCAAGGCCACTCCCAGAAAATAGTTCTCAAGGCTCCACCTCCAAAATAACCAGAGCAAAATTAGACTCGAGGCATGGCTCAAACTGCAGAGCACCTGTTTTGCAAGCTCAAAGTCCTGAGTACAAAAGTCACTCCCACCCAAAAAAAACCAACCCAACAACTCCAAACTTTGCATCTTCAGAGACATCTTTTTTCACCTGAAATATGCAATCAGTACAGCTCTCAAAAGTGCTAAGCACTTAACTGAGTATAACTTTATATTGATTCTGTACAGGTCACCAACATAACTTCAACTTACCTTGCAAGGCCAAAGGAATGGCTTCAATCTGGATCTTGGTGGGCTTTGCCCATCCCAGCTGGTCACAAGCTTCACACAATACATCTGTCACACCCTTAGAATTTAGAAAAATATATATACCTTAGCAAAGAACAGCACCACCTCCCTCTTATTCAAATGACTTTTCCAATGCCCTCTTGTTAGTGACATAAGCACCCTTACACAGGATTTAAAAGGTCTTTTTGTGCATCTCAGAGCGTACCATGAGACAGCAGCTGAACTTAATACTCAGCTCACCAGGGACAAACACAAGCGCTTTACCTGTGTTATCTCACTTCATCATGACAACAATTCTGCGGGGTAAGCACTTACTACTGCCCCCAATGTACCACGTGTAAAGACAGGCACGAGAGGTCACAAACAGTCTCTACTGAGGGGTCAGAACGCAAACCCGGGTGATTCACCTGACCCCAAAGCTCCAGCTATAGAAGAGCGAGCCAATGCACCCTCCGGGACAGGTAACAAACGTCGCCACCCTAACGTGGAGAAAAGGCTACATGGGCCATCTATCAGGGCCTGGAAGCAAGGCACAAATCCAAACTCACACGAGGTCAGAACCCAAGCTTCTGAAATTTGGGGGGAAACTAGGCTAGGCCCCAAGATGCTCTTGTGCACCACTAGCCGGGATCTAAGGAATCCGAGCCCTGCCTTAGCCTAGAGCCAGCAGTACAAAAGAAGCACCAAGCATCGCCCTTTCTCACCAAGTCTTTAAATGTCTTCGTTTCCTCCTCCTCCTCCACCGCCGGCTGAAGCGCTTCGGTCGACGAATCGTGCTCCTCGGGCGCCGCCATCTTGCCTGTGGGCTCCGGAAGTGGGGTGGCGGCGCGCGGGATGCTGGGAAATGTAGTTGTAGTCTTCCCTGGATGTGGTGTCGAGCGCCCCCTTCTCGCAGGCAGGGATTTGCAGCAGGCGGGGGGTTGCAGGCGGGGTTGGGTAGACAGAAGCTTCTAGGCTCCTAGAAATGCCAAGTGCAAAAGTGCAGAGCACCGGCTGCCCTGTAGGTGCCCTTTAAAGAGCCATTTCTAACTGTTTCCCCACTCTGTTCCTCGCTTTTCTAACTGTAGAGGTTTAAACGGGTGCATATCACAATGCTACTTATTTATTATTTCATTCATTTCTTCAGTAGTATTTGTTGACAGCCTACCATATGGTAGGGCTATGTTAGCTTCGTAATGAACAGGCCAGCATCCACTGCTCTTGTGGAGGGAAGACAAATAATAAGCAAATTATCACAGGTCAAATTATGAAAATGACTGATGTAGCAAACATATATAAAAATGAGGATGCTGAGGTATGGGAATAACTGTGACACTGCACAGTGACATCTGAGCGGAAATCTCACTGATGAACAGGAGAAAGGCCTTAAAGAGCCCAGGAGACAGAAGGAACCAAAATAGCCACCAAAGCTGTTCTGGAAAGCCACCAACCACTACTCAGGCACATGAAGTCCCCTGTGCTGCAAATCCTGTACCCATCAAGTGCCCTTCTGTGGCAAAGCAGGGGCAATCTCAACACGGGGTGCTCATTGAAGCATTATTCCCAGAGGCGGGAGGGTGAGTAGTTAAAACGTATGTAGGTGTGTGCAAATGTGCACTTAACAGCAGTTAGATCTCAAAAACCTAGCACTACATGAGAAAAACATAAAATATACCAGGCATATATTTAAAACACATGCCCACAAAACATCCCATTCTGCTAGGATATACTACAACAGAAAATACACTGAGACATTTTAGAATGGTTGGCTGTGGAGGAATTAAACTGGGATAAAATTAAGAACTGGGGAATTGGGAATAAAAGAGAATAAATATGCCTGTCATGGTGGCTGATGCCTGCGAATCCAAGCCACTTCAGAGGCAGAGATCAGGAAGGTCACAGTTCAAGGCCAGCCCTGGAGAAAGTTAGTGAGACACCATCCCAAAAAACAAGCCAGACATAGTGGCCTGTGGTCCCAGTTTTGTGGGAGGCATAGGGGAAAAATAAGATAAAACAAAAAGAACTGAAGGCAGGGCTCAAGTGACAGAGAGCTGGCCTAGTAAACAAAAAGAATACCAGTTCTACAGAGAGACAGAGAGAATAAATATACAAAGCAAGAGTTGAGAACTGCGACCAAGTCAAGTCATTGCCTGAGGGCCTTCCCACTCCTTACAAAGCCCTGCTTCAAGAATCACATTCATGACCAGACCAAGTGGCTCACGCCTATAATCCTAGCTACTTGGAAGGCAGAGATCATGGTTAGAAGTCAGCTCGAGATATAATTTGTGAAACCCTGTCTCAAAAATACCTACACAAAAAAGGGCTGGCACAATGGCTCAAGTGATAGAACTCAAGCCTAGCAAGTGTAAGACCCTGAGTTTAAACCCCAGTAAGTACTGCCAAAAAAGGAAAGAAAAACAAAGAAAGTAGGGTGAGGTCAAAGAGGTAGGCTCAGGTCAGATCCTGCAGGGCCTTATAGTACAAGGTGTGGCGTTTAGATGTTATCCTAAATACAGAAAGAATTTTGAGCAGAGAAATACATTCTCTACAATTTAAAATACCACTCTAAGCCAACTTGAAGGTAGACTTCAGAGAGATAGCAGAGGAAAAGGGAGACAAGAGACAAGATATGGTCTTTATCTCTCTGGCTCTAAGTACAAAATAGATGCTCAATAAATACTTCCAGACCAGGAAGGAAGTCACTGGGCATTTCTTTAGAGAGTGAAATTTTTCCTATCTTTGAAACACCATGCCTGCAGAACAGGCTAGGGCCCATTCTAATCTTTTGTTATTTCGATCCAAATTAAAGGAAAGGAGAAAAGACCCACACTGTATAAAACAACAGGGCCACTCTGATGTGGGGTCCACCAGGCAGTGGAGTCACACTCATGCTAACAGTCTAAAGCCCATCAGCTCTGTCGTCTACTTCTCTATTTTCCTAGGACCAGATATTAGGCCACTCGAGGTGATCTCTAAAGTTGAAAGAGCTCTGTGGGAGAAGAGGAGGTTGAGCCATGCTGGCTCTGTTTTTCCTCTTCTTGCACACTGTTACACAGACCTGTGTGGGAATTTGTGCCCCTAGTCTGACAAACAAGGAGCTCAAGTCCCAGAGGGTAAAGAGACATGGCCAAGATTACACCAGAGGGTTACATGAGTCAAGCTTCATGATGCCCAGACCGACTACTGAAGATCATTTCACCTCACTGAAAACGGCTTCCATCTGCACAGTCACACTCAGAACTCTTCTGCGACACAAGTTTTCTGTAAAAGCCAAGAGGGGAGCAGCAGAAGTGCTATTTTGCTTTCCTTAGATGCAGTCTCTGATTTCCTTCAGGAGAGCGGAATAGGGAATGAGTGAAAAATGGAGGGAAGGTGAGAGGCATGACTGGAGAGGGAGGGAAAGGAGAGATAAGAAGTTTGAAAAGGTGCCCATATGGAAACCAGGGGAGGCCTGTAACATCTGAAGTTGCCCAAGATCTGCAAAAATGTGCTTCAGACAAAAAGAACCATTCATATGTATATATGATGGAATTTTATTCAGCCACAGGAAGAATGAAATGTTGTCATTTGCAGGTAGTTGGATGGAACTGTAGGACATCATCTTAAGTGAAGTTAGTCAGGCTCAGAAAATCAAAAGCTGCATATTTTCTCTCATATGTGGAATATAGACCTAATACAAATCTAGCAGTGTTATGAAAAACAGGTCACGCTATGGGGAGGTCACATATGAGAGGGGGAGGGTAAAAGAAGGAAGTTAAGGTGACTATGATTGATGTACTTTCTGTACAAGAATGCTGATAGAGTCATGGTAAGAAGAGGACTAAGGCAGAAAGGAGAAAAATAGAGGCGATGAACCAATTCAGGTTATAATACAGATATGCATGCAAATGTCACTATTAAACACCATGATAGCTATCGTAAACAAAAATGTCAGTTTTTTTCAAAAACAGAGAACTGGAAGGTAAAACAGGTCCTGACTGGAGGATGTAAGGAAAGGGTGTAGGAGGATGAATATGGTGGAAATATTGTGTACTCAGGTATTTAAATAAAAAAATAATACCTGTTGAAACTATTCCAGGAATGGGGGAAGGGGATAAAGGAGAATGATGGAGGGGGTGAATTCAACTATGATACTTAAATGTCACAATGTACCCCCAGCACAAAAATAATAGAGGAAAAAAAACCATACATAAGATTTCTGAGAATTGCTTTTTTTTTATTAGCACATATTAAATCATATGCAATAGTGGGGTTCACTGTGACATTTCCACCCATGCACACAACATTCTTTAATCTGTCCACCTCCTCCTGCTTCCCTCCCCTCCCCCCTTCCCTTTCTTCTCTAATACTGACCACTGCTTTTTAAGTGGGCTGACCTCAACGATTCAGCTGCTATTCTAAGACCCTCTCCACTTCAGTCAAGCAAAGGTCTTTTCTGTCTATTCTGGGATAATTCAGATGCAGGCTATTTTTAAGACTTCCTCTGGTGCCAATGTCTCCAGGGCATCGAGGGCCTTGGAGAGGATACCAGGAAGGCAACACCAGTGTTTCCCCACTCCTCGTTCCAGGGCCTCCTGGCAAGGATTGGGCCTTCAACCAGCACCCACAGGATCTCTGTCACACTGGCAGGGTGGCCACAGGTGGATTCAGAGATAAAAGCCTGTATCAGCTGAGAGCATTATCCACCAGGTTGGGAGTAGCTTGGAGAGTTACATTCCGGTAATGGAAATAATAGAGATCCATTCTAGCAGCTGAGCCATGTCATATCCTGTACTTCCAGAACAATGAAGAAGTTAGAAAGGAAATCTAAATACACTCTAAAAATGATGTCATGTCATGGGGAAAGCCAGCCGGAAACGACATGCTAGTTCCAGAAGTGATGAAGCCTGACTGACCCTGAAAGGTGTCCAGTGTGCTTTCCTGTGTCCCTTATACCACAAAAAAAGAAGAATCATTTTTTACAACTGTACTAATGTAAAGACAAATATAGCGTTAAAGCTTCAACTATTTCTTTGACTGACTTCAAAGTTCATGCTTTTCTTCTTTTATTTCTAAAAGAAATTGAAACTTTTTTTTGGTGGTACTGGAGTTTGAACTTAGAGCTTCGTGCTTGCTAAGTAGGTGCTCTGCCACTCCGCCAACCCTAAACCTTTTTTTTTTCCTGTAGGTCTCTGAAAGTACAGTAGTCCTCCCATCCACCTAGGATGTGTTCCAAGACCAATGGAAGCCTAAACCCTCTATACTGTTTTTTCCTCACATACTAAGATTACATTTAATTAATAAATTAAGCATTGTAAGGGATCAATAAAAATAACTCATAAAAAGTAATAATTATAACAATATCCTGTAATAAAAGCTACGTGTCTCTCTCACTCTCTCAAAATTCTCTCCCTCTCATTGATCTTGGATTGATGTGAGATGACATTTACAGTAAGGGATTCATGACTTCTCTTTGTCAAATTCAAGTTGCCAGGCGGTAGGGGGGAGAGATGGCCCAAACAATGTATGCACATATGAATAAACAATAAAAAAAGAAAAAAATTCAGGTTGCTCACATTCACTACTTTGCACTTTGGAGCCATTATTAAGTAAAATAAAAGTTACTTAAACCCAAGCATTTTGATACTTCGACAGTTGTTCTGATAACCGAGACAGCTACAAACTGACAGGCAGGTAGTATATACAGTGTGGATACACTGGACAAAAGGGATAATTCACATCCCAAGCAAGACAGAGGGGACAGAGTGAGATTTCATCGTGCTACTCAGAACAGCACACTATGAATTGCTCACTTCTGGAATGTTCCATTTAACATTTAGGGGATGCAACTGACCA